GACTCTGTGGCCACCTGGCACGGCGTGGCCGTGCGCAGCCCCGAGCCTCCCTCCGCGCTCTGCCTGCCTCTCCACACAGGAGGCCGCGGGCCGCCGACCCAACTCCCTGGCCGTGGACCCAGCCTCGAGGCTCCGAGGTCTAAATTAAGATGCAAACACACCGAGGTCAACTCTGGGCCTCTCCTGCGGGGCGCCCGGGCCCACAGCCCCCCGAGCCCCCCGGCAGGCGCGCCACGGGTGGGCAGGCGCGTCGTCTCGTTCACAGGCCTGGCCGTGGCGTCTCCACAGCATGGACACAACACGAATGCACAAGGATTTGCACTACAGGCCTGGGACGGCTGTGCGTCTGCAGAGGCGCCGCCGGCGAGGCCGGCAGAGAAGAGGCGGGGTCGGCGAGGCCGGACCTGCGCCCAGTGTGCGTCTGCCAGACACTGTGAAGTGCCAGCAGGCGGGCTCAGCACCCACGGCCCAGGCGCCCACAATTTTACTTGGTTTTCATCGCCGAGCTGAGCGCAACGTTAGTGGGAACAGGGAGAGAGGCGCGCGTCCCCGACGCCCTCCGCGGTCAGCGTCCATGCAGGGCTCCCCCGGCCCGCGACACGGCAGGGTCAGGCCGACTGCGGCAGAGGGTGGGGGCCGATTCTGAAACTCACCGTCGTGAATCTCATGAGCCAGACTAGTGATCTTCTGCGTGATGATCATCATCGGGCTGGGACAAACGAAAAACACGGATCTTAACAGGGACCTGAGCGACCCCCGCGACGCGTAAAACAGGCGATAACGCAGCTACGAAACCCCAACGTTTCCCAACATGCGGAAGAGACACCCAAGGCGCTTCAGAGGAAGCCGAGCGGGCTGGGGCCGGACGAGGCCGACAAGCAGCCCTGGCCGCTCCTCCTCCACGCGGCCACGAGCACCCCTGGCCCCGCCGCCGCCGTGGTCCCGTCACGGCGCTCACAGTGCTGCTGGGGGCTGCCAGGGGCAGCAGGGGTCGTGTCACAGGCTGGGCTTGGGGCTCAGCACGGAGTTGGTGGGGGTGCAGGGCTGGGACAGGCGAGGTCGGCCTCGCCCACAGGGTGACCTTAGCAGGGAAGGCCGGCCAGGGGCAAGCCCCACAGGGCCTGCTCCAGAGTCAGGAGCGGCTGGGGTGCCGGGGGCTGGAGGGGGGCCGGAGAGTGCGCTGGGGGACCTTGAGTAGGGAGGAGGGCGGAGACAGCAGTCCTAGAGGTCAGAGCCCAGCCTTTTGCAGGGAGCTGGGAGGACGGGGCCCCAGAGGAGTCTGGCCGGGAACTGGTCGGGAAGGTCAGTCAGTGGGGCGAGGGACAGGATGCGTGGGGTGCGCCTGGCCTTGGCCAAGCACTTGCTGGGCTGTGAAGGGGCCCCTGGCCCCTGGAGCGGCCAGCCCCGCCCGCCCGAGCGTGGCCCTGTCGGCTTCTGTGAGGATTCCAGAGGCCCAGAAGGAAGTGGGAGCTCAAGGAGGAGCCGGACTCCGTAAACCACTGGCGGGCAGGGCGCCTCTCGCTGAAAAGGAGTAAGAGCTCCCGTGTCGAGCCACTGAGATCGCGCAGTCAGCAGCGGTGAGCCCGCCCTGGCTGGAGGGCAGGGAGCACTTCCGGGGGCAAAGGGAAACTGGAAAGGTACCCACAAAGGTGGGACCCAGGGCTGAGGCGGACCCCGCCAGCTCCGGCCACGCCGCGCCCTTGCTGCTGTTCCCACGCGCTCAGCTGAGCCGAGGGACTGGCCGGCAGGTCCCGCGGGGAGGGACGCGAGGGCACGTGGCAGTCGCGGAGCTGCAGGCCAGGCCGGGCCAGGCCGCAGGAGCGGACACAGGTGCTCGCTGCAGCGGGCTGCCGGCCTGACCCCAGGCACCAGCCTGTGGGCCCCCGGCGGCGAAGGCCGAGTGAGGTGCGGGACCTCGTCGCCCGTCGCTCCGGAAGCTGATGTCAGCGACTGCCACCAGCCCTCGTGAGCCAAACTGGCCGGGACCAGCCTCTGCGTTTCCGCCGCGGCCCGGAGGCTGCCCGCGTGCTCTCGTCCGCCCGCCGTGGGGCCAGAAGCCAGACAGAGCAGGGAGCTCTCCCGGAGGAGCTGTGAACTTCTGCACCCGGGGTGGGGGGTGGGGTGGGGTGTGTGTGTCCCGGAGGACAGACGGAGAGGGCAGCCTGGCGCAGACACGGCGCGGGGCACGCGTGGTCTCGGCCCCGCCTGATCAGAGGGCACTTCCACGGCCAGGAGCCATTCGACAAACGTGGCTGCTGCACCTCTGGAAGTTTTGCATAACTTAAAAGGTTACTTCTTCATAAATAACGTAAGGAACAGCATCGTGAAGACCACTTTGCGAGAATTCTCCATTCACAAAGGAGACTGTCATTAAAATATCGAGCACTAGATGCCCACTGGAGCCACTAAATGCAGCTGTGTTTCGTTCTTTATCAACCAGAGGAGCTGCCGCAGACCGTCGAAACAGACGGGCTCTTACCCGGAAAAGTCCGCAGAATACTGTCCGTAATCGAAGATGTACACCCTGGTGACCTGGCACACCGTCAGGTAGCCCAGGGCAAACACGAAGCAGCACCTGCAGGGGGAGGCCAGCAGGTGAGCAGGGAGGAAGGATGCGCTCCAGAGCACTCCCTGGCCGCGAGGCT